TGGTTACTGATCTTTTCTCTAAGTTCTGCAACTCCAAGGTTTTCTCTGCTCATGTTTTCTTTATTGATTCTAGTTCTGTTTTCATGACTTGCACCATTTCCCTCATCTGTTTGAATGTGGATTCTTGTCTTTCAATGATCACCTCTATTTTTTTTGTTGTTGTTCATTTCGTCTCTATATGCCTCTACTTGTGACTCTACATGTGCCTTTATTTGTTTGGTTGTATTTGCCTATATTTCTTTGAGAGCTTTGTCTGTTTCCTCTTTTTGTGCCTCTAATAATTGGATAAGCATAGATTTGAGATTGTTTTCCTGTGTTTCTGGTGAATTAAAATATCCATTGATTTTGGGGAATGCTGGTGAAGCCATGATGTCCCGATTTTTATCAGATGTGTTCCTATGATGACCTCTAGCCATCTGCTTACCTTTGCTGTTTGTTCCTGTGGTCTGTACTTCAAACCGGGTCCATCTGTCTATGGAGTCAGAGTATTCTTCGGGAAGAAGACAGAGGTCTACCAGTTTGAGAGTGGATATCGGTGTTTCTGCTGTAGCTAAGGGGAGGAAGGTCATAGTCACATGTGCCCAAGCACGGGAGTGTGCGTGGAAGTGTGCCTTGAAGGACAGGGTGCAAGAGCATGTAGATGCCTGGAAGTGTAGAACGTAAGTGCAGTTGGGGGTGCTGGGAGCTTTTAGTGGTCTCATGGGAGGGTGTCCTGAATGCCTCATTGCCCTACATGCCTTTTGTACTGTTCTCTAGGTATTCAGATCTTGTTTGGGTTGCACCACTTGGCTCCATGAATTGTTTGCTTGGACTACACTGGGACACCCACAGAACAGGGCCTTCAATGTTTGAGGACTCTGTCCCAAAGATCCCTGTATTGCCCACAGTTGGGGCATGGATTGGAGGGATCTGATGTCTTGCTGCTAGCATGGAGGGACCCTGGATCTGAGGCTCTGCATGTACTCACTTGAAGGCACATTCACTTGCTTGTAGGCCTGTGTGGAACACACAGGGGTTACTCTGGTTCTCTTCTCTCAGATTTGTATCCTCAGGAGTAAATGAAAGTGTAGATCTGTCAGCTCAGTGACATCTGCTGTTTGGCCACTAGCAGGGAGACCCTTACTTGGGGCAGCTGCCTCTGCATATTCAGTATCTGTGTACTTAGCCTGCAGCTTGGGGCAGTGGTCTCCCACTGCAGCCTCTGAGCTGGGAGCCCATATAGCTGCCACTTCTGCTGTCTCTGTCACCAAGGACCAAGGATCCTGCTTGAGGAAACCACTGCTGCCTCTGCCAAGCAGGGAGGCCAGGCTGGGGGAAGTGGCCACTACCCTCTGCCTCCACTGATCAGGGAGGCCCATGCTTGAAACAAGGGGAAGGGCAGAGGATTGAATATTCACTACCCTCAGACCCCAGAGACGTCCACATCTATGGGTGACCTGGATTCAAACTGCCCCAGCTCATCAGTTGTCCCCTCTCTCCCAGGAAGCCTCAATGTTGATGTTGTGACTTCAGCTGCCTCTTCACTGACCAAATTCTGAGTTTCAGATCTTGTACCCTCAGATAGGGTGTACACTGGTCGCTGCCGTCTTGGATGCCATTATGTGTGTTCTTAACAGAAACCATACCACCCCTGGGAGTGAGTGCTGGGTAGTGAGAGAAAAACCTTTGGTGGTACAATGGTTTGTGGCCTAGATAAACATAACAGAACACAAACAGATAAGCAATAATCCGATGAATTTAATTTTTTTATTGTTGCTTTTTTATGCAAAGTAACTCATTCTGTAGACCAAGTTAGCCTCGAATTTAGAGATCTGCCTCCCTAGCGCAGGGACTAAAAGAGTGCAACACCACATACACCAGCCATAACTTTAAATGTGAAGAAAGATGAACATTGAGGAAAATGCGTCTAAATATGAGGAAGGGAATCAAAAAGAGAAACAAGCTATAACATATTTCAAATATGTATTCAGGTGTCATACTAAATTAAGCAACATGATTTATTTTTGTCATCTTTGTGTTGGCACACCATGTTTGTAGTGTAATCAAAATATACTACCATTAAAGAATTGCAATGAAACAATATTCATGATGTTATATTATAAAATTTCATATCTTCATTTAATTTGTAGAAACCATAAATATATGCCATTTTGCATTCTGTTCTGTTCACTTGTTTACACTTACTTGTGTTTATGCAGTCTTTAAAATTACTGTTTTCACAAGACTACATGAAATTCACTTGCATTGTTATTCTTTCATTGTTCTTCTTTATATGTGAAAATTCTCCATCTTTATACTTCTTTACCTAACTTCTGGAGAAATATTGCAGTCCAGAGGCTGAGGAGAACTCTTATGGGAGAGAAATTCTTGCTATGAAAATGAAAGCAAGAAGACTCCAGAATTCAAAGCCATCAAATCAAAGCCATTCACAATAAATTGTCAATAATCCCAGCACTCCAATGGTGAGGTGGGAAGCAGAGATAGGCAAATCATCAGAAGCTCTATTACCAGCAAGCCTGGTGTTAAGTAGGACCAAGGGAGACACATAGAACAACAAAGAGAATTTGTCTCCAACAAGGTAGAAAGTGAAGATTGACACGTGGGGTTCTTCTTTGGCATGAATATGTGAATTGCGCCATGCACATACTCACCTTTCCACATATACACAACTAGGGACATTGCTGGAGTACTTCACAAAGGTTCTCAGTTTTTTTAAACCTATTTATCCCTGATTATTCAGATTCCTTTTGTTTAACCTTTTTATCCCAACCATGTCTTAGTAATCTTATTGATGATTTCAAAATATATATCTTCTCCATCCCCTCTCTTCTGCTTTTTTTTTTTTTTTGTTATTTAGACAAATAGTCTATGTTCTTAGACATTTCCCTGCCTCTAATTTTGTAATAATGCTCTTTGGTAAGCCCCTCTAAAACTCAAGTTTAAGCATGTAACATGGCTTCCAGCTACTTTGAATGTACTACCCAATACAGTGGCCATAAGCTGCATGTTCTATTGGACAACTGAATTACAGCTAATCAGAATTAAAGTGCAAAAAAAGGAATTTTGTACTAGATTTAACTTGATCTCATAAAAAGCAGATATAGTATATCATTACTTCTAAGTATGTTTTCTTTAATATGAATGATTTAGGTTCATATTTCGGCTCCTTTACATATCATCTATGTGATGTATACATTTTCTTATTCCTATCTGAAAAGATATAAGAAACTTAAAGCATCTAATGCATAGAAGTTAATTATTCTAGCCACATTCCATTTACATCCAGATATGTACCTACTTTGTTCCTCTTTTCTTTCTTTTGGAAATATTGGGTAATGATTCAAATATGTCATTTATCTTAATATTTATAAAGCACAATCACTCTTTCTCTATTTAATCACTGGGAGCACTTTTACCACTATGTTTTCACCAGATATTGTTACTGAGAACCTCTGTGTTTTCTTTTTATTTTTATTCAATATCCTGTCCTAAATAGCTTATTTTAAAATGATAAATAATTATGACACTGAAGAAATTTCAAGTCAAATGAAGAGTAAAATGATTTTTAGATTTTTCTTATCCCATAAGAGAAAATGTCCTGTAATGGATACTGTCTCTTAAGGCAGTATCCTTAAGGCAGAAGGATTTACCTTAGGCTGGGATGAGAGATAGTATCTTCTTCCTTATCTTCCATTCTTTTCTTATCCTTCCTACTTACAAATATCCCATACTTCAAACTCACAAAGGAGCCAACTAGTTTGGGTTCTCTCTAGCAGCCAGGCAATGAGGCATGAGAAGACCCAGGTTCCTATGGATTATATATAACACAGTAATATCCCATCAATTGACACTGTATTGTAAATGCTTTTATGAATATCAGGATTGTGTTTGATAGTCAGAGTTGTGAAAGGTAATAGTAAGGCATAGTGTCTTAAATTTTTTTAATTTTTTATTTAACTTTTATTAATTACACTTTATTCATTTTGTATCCCCCCATAAGCCCCTCCCTCCTCCCCTCCTGGTCCCACCCTCCCCCTCTTTCTGCATGCATGCCCCTCCCCAAGTCCACTGATAGGGGAGGTCCTCCTCTCCTTCTTTCTGATCTTAGTCTATCAGTTCTCATCAGAAGTGGCTGCATTGTCAGGGTTCTAGGTTATCTCCACGGATAGTCCTTGGTTGGAGTATGAGTCTCTGGGAAGTTCCCTGTGTTCAAATTTTCTTGTTCTGTTGCTCTCCTTGTGGAGTTCCTGTCCTCTGTTGTTCTTGTTACAAAATTCCATGAACAACCTTTGAGTACTTTCTTTTTCTGTTACCAATAGTTCTTTCCTACCAGAAAAAGACTTTAGGCATGCACCAGCATTCTAAAAAGTAAATGAGATTTTTTTTTTTTTTTTTTTTTTGGCCAGTGTCTCTCAATATAAAATGTGGCCTTTCAGATGATGTGATCACCTTTTCTTTATATAATGTCAGCATTTCAAAATGAGTAAAGGATATGGATTATCTAAGAATTGAATGCAAATGTGTTTTGCAAATACTGCTTTTCAAGGGAATCACAGATGATGGTTGACCGCTGAAGGTATTAATACAATCAGTATTTAACCTTGTATAGCTCTGCTTCATCAAGTCACGCCCTGCACATTGATTGCATTAAGCCATGTCAGTGGTTTCTTGCTTAGGAACATCTTACAAGAATCTTAACAGGAAGGCAGCAGTAGCTGATCAGCTACTGTTTATTTGCATACTGAGTGTGTCATCAATAATACAAAAGACAAGGTCTTTAAGTTGAAAGAACAGTAGAATTGGCATGAATTTTGCTTAGTGGTGCGTAATAAGCACAGTAGTCTGTGATGCCAGAAACTGACAGGATCCATTAAGTTAAAACAGATATATTTCTTTAATTTAAAGATGTTATGTAAATCTGACAAATTTTTTTTCCTTTATTTTCCTGTAGTTTAACTTTAATTGCTGTAAGATTAATTCTAATTTCTCTCATCCTCCAGAGGGTGATGAGACTGGAGTGATGGATAACCTTCTGCAAGCCTTACAGTCAGGTGCAGCATTCAGAGACCGTAGAAAGCGAATTCCAAGGAATCAAGGTAAGATCCACTCTAGCTTACATAATTTGGTAATATGTGAATGTTATGTGCCAAGTTCCTTTTCCAGAAAAGGAACAGTAAACTTTCTCAGAAAGGTGTTTTTTCTCAGTCAGTCTCAATTCATGTGTGGAATCCGAGTAGGCCCCTACATGAAATAAGTTTTCAAGTTTTAACCCTGTAAATGTATCTTAAAATAAATGTACACTTTGTAAAAATCAATAAATACAGACTCCCACTGTGTTCTGTATTAAACATTTTAATTGTTGTTCTATGAGCATGAAGCTTAGGTAGAAGGTGATTAAAAACCATAATCGTAATTAAATCATTAAAGATAACTGACTCAGAATGTTATATTAACTCTTCACTAAGAGGAAATTAAGTCAATATTGGTTTTTTATAGGTGATTTTTGGTTTTCATTGTATGTTATTGTCCATTGTTGTTAAAAGTGTGAGAATTGCCATGGTCTTCAAAACTCAGAAAGTACTGGAATAATTCGGGGTTTTTGTTTGTTTGTTTTTAGTAACAGAAAAGGTAATGCTATGAAAACTGGTCTCAGTAGGGAGATGCATAAATATAGCAAGACAAGTGGAATTATACAATCAACTTTCTCTGTTCAGACCATGTGGTTTTGAGAAATAGCTCCTCTCAGGGTAATCCAGATCACTTTGTCTAATCACTTCCTCCAAGGAGATCACTTTCTTATAAGTTCTTCTCCTATCTTTTTTAATCTAGAAAAAAAGGTATGTTGATTTTAATTTTCTCCTTGTACTATAAAGCTAGTTGGAAAAATTAATACTAAATATGCAAATGCTATTTAATTTAAATTAGTATAATTTAACTTAAGTAGCCTATGCTCCCCAGAAATGTTCTGTGTTTGGACTTAAACTTATGGTATGTTTGTAGAATAGAGATTGATAGCCATTGAAATTCATCAAATTAAGGGCAAGAGTGGTACTCAATGCTGAGTTATTCATAAATGTTTTGGTTAATGGTGAAATTCATAACTGAAGCCAATGTAAGTTAAACTCACCTTTTTCCCATTTGTATAAATTTTCTGATTGGGTAATTGTTAATGTTCCATGTTTGTTGTTAATGGAAGGTTTATTGAGATTATCTTAAAGATTTGATTGAGAAGAAAATAGCACTTTAATTAATAGAGCAGACAGCTTTATGTATATAAAGTAATTAAAGGTTCTTCCTAGGAGTTTTGTAAAACATTAAAAAGAATTTTTAAAAGTCTGTGTTTATCCTTAACCATCAGGGAGATGCAAATCAAAATGACCCTGAGATTTCACCTTACACCCATCAAAATGGCTAAAATCAAAATCTCAAATGACAACACATGCTGGAGAGGTTGTGGAGAAAGAGGAACCCTCCTCCATTGCTGGTGGGAATGTAAACTGGTACAATCACTTTGGAAGTCAATCTGGCGCTTTCTCAGACGATTAGGAATAATGCTTCCTCAAGACCCAACTATACCACTGCTATGCATATACCCAAAATTTGCTCAAGTACACAACAAGGACATTTGCTCAACCATATTTATGGCAGCTTTATTTGTGATGGCCAGAACCTGGAAACAACCCAGATGTCCCTCAGTTGAGGAATGGATACAGAAACTGTGGTATTTTTACACAATGCAATACTACTCAGCAATCAAAAACGAGGAAATCATGAAATTTGCAAGCAAATGGTGGGATCTAGAGAAGATCATTCTGAGTGAAGTATCCCAGAAGGAGAAAGGCACACATGGTATATACTCACTTATATAGACCTATGAGATACGATAAACATAATGAAATCTATACACCTAAAGAAGATAAACAAGAAAGTGGACATGGGGTAAGATGATCAATCCTCACTTAGAAAGACAAATGGGAGAAAACAAGTAACAGGATAGGAACCTACCGCAGAAGGCATCTGAAAGACTCTACCTAGCAGGGTTTCAAAGCAGATACTAAGACTCATAACCAAACCTTCAGCAGAGTACAGGGAATCATATGAAAGAAGGGAAGTTAGTATGATATGGAGAGGATAGGAGCTCCACAAGGACCAAATATATCTGGGCACATGGTCTTTTCTGAGACTGTCACTCCACCAAGGACCATGTATGGATATAACCTAGAACCTCTGCTTGGATGTAGCCCGTGGTAGCTCAGTAACCAATTGGTTTCCCATAGTAAGGGGAACAGGGACTATTTCTGACAGGAACTCAATGGCAGGCTCTTTGACCTCTCCACCCCTCAAGGGAGGAGCAGTCCTGCTAGGCCACATTGGAGGACTTTGCAACCAGTCCTGAAGATACCTGATAAAACAGGGTCAGATGAAAGGGGAGGAGGTCTTCCCCAATCAGTGGACTTGGAAAAAGGCAGGGAGGAGATGAGGGAGGGAGAGTGGGAGGAGGGAATAAGGGAGCGGGATACAGCTGGGATACAGAGTTCATAAAATGTAACTAATAATAAAAATTAAAATTAAAAAAGTCTATGTTTATATATTCATAATAACATTTTAAGTAATTTATAACAGAAGACTAAGAGAAGTACCACAGACACATAGGAGACAGTCATTCCACTATCTTCTGTCTCTCTGTGTAAAATGGCAGGGGTTTACATGCTATCAGAGGCTCCTTCCATCCATTACGAGTAAGAATAACAATCAGAGTTGGTAAAAGAAAAACAGAAATACTGTTTAAATCAATATATTTCTCTGTGAAGGAACTGATAAAGTTTATATATGTTATTCTGGGCCATCCAATAAGGTGTCATGATCTCTTAGTCTGTATATTTTAAACATAGTCATTTGCATAAACCCCTCCTCGGTAAGTCTCATACCTCATTCTGATTCCAGAGGGCCTATATGAAACAGAGAGGTAATTCATTCAATGTTTTTTGTTGTTATTGTGTTTTGGGGGGTTTTTTGTTTGTTTGTTTGTTTATGTTTGATACTCAAGGCAATATAGTATTGTTGGTTGTGAACAACAGGAATATCTTCACAAAAAATGCAATTATATTGATTCTAAGTAATCTAAAAGTTGGTGTCTCTTGGTTTGAAGTTAGATTGCATGTATAAACAAAAGAAAGAAAGAAAAAAAAAAACAGCAACAAAAGCCATAGTTCATTTAGTTCTCTGGTAGTCAGTCATGTCTAATAGCAACAGCCAAAGAAGACATTCTGAGTTCAAAAGAAACTAGATGGGGGTTGGAGGGAGGAAAGATGAAAAAGAAAATGAATCATAGGCTAACAACAACAAAAAGTTCCAGTTTGCCTCTTTGTAGAAGCAGAGCTAGGGTCTTCTGCAGGTTTCTTCCTGTCTTTCATTTCTTAGCTAGATCACCTTTACCTACCAGTTCAATAGTTTCTTAGTTACTTGGTTTGGTTCCATTCCAATATCACTTTGATTGCTATTCTGAAACTTTCTACCCTTCTACACTGGAATTCTTAGCCCTTTGCCATAACTCCTATATCATTATGATAAGATAAAAGCAGAAAAGTAAAATTAGGAAAAATACTAGTTGCCCAAGGAAATAAAAGTTTGAAAAAACAACCCAGACCCCAAAATGACCATCTCAAAATACAGCCAAATGACCTGAATCACTGAAAATATAGTATTCAGCCTTTCTGCGTGTTATTTCCACTGTCATCGCTTACAGATGAAATTGCAGTCAGAATTCACAAAAGCAACAGTAGTTGGGTTATATATCAATACAGGCTGAATAGTTACTCACATCATAGCCTTTGCTGATATCAAGCTCAGGTTAGGAAATGAGCCCTAAATATTCATTAATTTGTTGTAAATGTGTTCTGTGAAAAGCACTGTTCTAGATATGATAGAAGATGCAGAAATAATTAAGATAAGATTCCCTTAGTTATAAAACCCTTGTATCTCATATAAAAGATATAAAGCACAAAAAGACTACAGAATATTGCAAAAAAGATAGTAGGTGTTAAACAAGAGGTGTTAATAACACTGGAAGAAGATAGCATGCCTTATTGGATATATCAGAAAAATAATCATAGAAGAATACGTGTTAAAGAATGAGTAGGGGTTTTAGCAGTGGGAGTTGGAGGTGAGGGTGATGGCTGCAGTATAATTAAATGTCATAAAGAAAATCATGGAAGCAAGAAACAGCTAGCCTTTTCACAATGGCAAAGACTATAGCATAGAAGCAAATAGAATATAAAAAACATAAAGGTATTGAGCTAACTCTGAAAAATAAGTTAATGCCACATTATGAAGTGCTGGAGTCAGAGACTAATGTATTAATATGAAATCATGTGGAGAATCTGTGAATTTTTTTAAGCAATAGGAACATTATCAGTGGTATACATCAGGACATGTAAGTTACAACAAGGGATACATGAGACAGTCACACACATACATACAAAGAAAGAAAGAAAGAGAAACTTGTTTTTAAGAGCTTTGTATTGACTTTGTAAAGAATATACTGCCTCAGGAGCTGAGGAGATTGGGCTCAGTTAGTAAAGTGCTCTCTGTGCAAGCATGAGGACTTGTGTTTGGAAACCTAACACACATGTAAAAGGTGGGTGCAGTGGCTTGTGCCTATAAACTTAAAGCTGTAGAGATAGACAGAGGAGGAAATGAGACTTGCTTGTTACACTTGTGCTGTAGCATTCATGCACACTTCCCCTTATATAAGCACACAAAATAAATAAGTAAAACATTAAAGATTTTAAAGTAGAAAAGAATGAAACATCCTCTAACCTCTACACCCTGCCTCCCAAAAAATAAATGGAGAATGTTGAGGACAACACCCAATATTGACCTCTGACCTTTGTGCGCTTGTGCGCGCGAACACACACACACACACACGCACCACTCACACACACACACACATTCTTGTCCAAACATACACCCACACAAATAAAAATTTAAGAGAATATATTTTCCATACTGTAACAGAATTGAGGAAAAATATTGAAGCTCTAGAAAAATATAGTATTATTTCAACTGTAGAGTTATTAAATGTCTCATTACTGCC